TGTTATAAAACAATATAGATTATTTTATTTTTATTTTTTAGTTGTTTGTGATGAGTTACATAGACAATAAACATTTTTATTAGTTTCTCTTTTTAAAATACTTATATATTGAGGCCAGATGGCTCATGCCTGAAATCCTAGCACTTTGGGGGGCTGAGGAGGGTGGATCACTTGAGGTCAGAAGTTCGAGACCATCCTGGCCAACATGGTGAAACCCCATCTCTACTAAAAATAAAAAATTAGCTGGGCATGGTGGTGGACGCCTTTAATCCCAGCTACTGGGGAGGTGAGGCAGAAGAATCACTTGAACCCAGGAGGCAGAGGTTGCAGTGAGCCCAGATCGCACCATTGCATTTCAGTCTGGGTGACAGACAAAATAAAAAAACATATATATTGAAAGACAGTAGATGTATTTGAGTAAGGATTAGGGCATCCTCAACTGCACTATAATGAACCTAAGGAGTTAATACAAAGTCCTTGATTAGTAATTTATATTTAGTATAGTATATTTTTTCGTGTTTTCTGTTTGTTTTTTATTGATGTTAATGTATCCTTTTGCATTCAAAAATTATTTCTGAGTTCTTATTATGAGAAAAACAGCCTCAGGAAAAGCTCTGTGAGGATGTAAAATCTTCAGAAGTTTTTCAGGAAGTATGAATTTGTTATGAAACAAATAAATGTTAAATATAAGACAGCAGTGTAACCGTTTCTCAAAAGTTTATCACTCTCTCTCATTCTCCGTTTTGGCCATAACTGTATTGAATAAACCTGCTACATGAGCAATAAACTACTTGAATCAGCAGTCCTCAACATAGTAAAGGTCTTTAGACTTAATATTTACAGTGAAAAAGGAGGATCAAATAAGTCAAATAAGTTAGGAGGAAACCTCTTACTGTATTCCCCACCCCCAATCTTAGATACATAATTTACATTAGGACACTATTCTCTTAACTTTGATTGGGAATGTTTATATTTCAGTGGTAAATACATTTGTGATCTTGTTTTCATGAAGATTAATCATAAATGAGAGAAAAAAATTGGAATTATTGCATAGAAAAGCTTCATAAATATATAGAGATATATTTCTTATTTATTTCATAGAGTGACTTTTTCTGTGATATGTATTTAATATAAATTTCAATTAAAATACATGATATAGACAGTTGAGAAAATAATCCTAAAAATCTCAACAGAAAAACCAAATATCATATATTTATAAACATAATCCCAAACATCTGTTATGAATATATATAGTCAGTTAGATAACCCTATGTAGGGTAGCCAGCAAGGCAAGTAGGCAGAAAGACTGACAAAAAGAATCACACCATAGATGCTATTTTAAGTTAAACTAATTATAATAGTTTGATTAATTTGATTAATTGTGTTACTTTATCACTTAGCCAGTATAATTTGATTAATTATATTGGGTTAATCAGAACAAAAAAATAAAATGAAAACTATTTGTTTTATGTTTCAGATAATGTTTCTGTCACAGAGAGTATAGTTCTTAAGATATCTTTAAACTTAAATATAAATATAAGCATATATACACACACATACACATATACACACACACACACACACATAGACAAATTTATTGACAAGCAGATTTTAAAATGAGGAAATTAAACCACCTCACTTCTCCTTACTTCCTGGTTTTTATTGAGATATATTGTTATTTTAATGCTTTAAAACAGTATTCTGTAACCATAATTTTCGTGACTATACTGTATTCTACAATTAAGTGGATTTGCTGGATACCACCAGGCACTGGAACTCCACCAGCAACCCTCGAGTTTAAGGATGAGAACAAGTCGTCTGTGTTCTTTGTAGAAAACTCAGAAAATGAGAATGAAGCTAATGATGGTATAATGAAAAAATGATTTATAATTGTGCTTTACATATTAATGTATGATATATGTATCCCTAGAGTTTTAAATTAATATATATAAACCACCATATATACATACTATCTTTCCTTTTATCCTATCTGTTATTATCTAATTTAATTCATATATTGAGAACGTTTTACTCGATCTATGAATTTATGTCTACCTGTTACTTAACTGACTACACAATATTCTTATACAGTTGTACCATGGTATCAACGGGGGATTGTTCCAAGACCTCCCTTGGCTACCAAAATTCATGAATGCCCAAGTCCCTTATATAACATGGCATGGCATTTGCATATAACTTATGCACATCCTCCCATATACTTTAAATCATCTCTGGCTTGCTTATAAGATATAATACAATGTAAATGCTATAGAAATAGTTGTTATATATAATATATATTATATATGTTTGAGGAATAATAACACAAGTCTGTATGTGTTCAGTACACATGCAGGTTTATTTTATTGTTTTACTGTTTTTGATCCAAGGTTGGTTGAATCCATGGGTGCATAACTCAAGGATATGGAAGGCCAACTGCATAAGAATGTACTATGACTTACTGACCAAATTTTATTGTTTTACATTGATGTTGCTTCTTATTTTTTCCATTGATAGTGAATGTCCTTCTGTATACCTCTTTGCAAACGTTTATACATTTTTCCCCTAGAGCTTATTTTTTTCTTGGATCAAAGAGGAGATTAAATTAGAAATGATGTTTGTATTGGTCAGGGTTCTCCAGAGAAATGGAACCAATAGATGTATGTTTGTATGTATGTTGAAAGAGAGACTGATTTATTAGAGATTACAAGGAATTGGCTCCTATGATTTCAGAGGCTCAGAAGGCTCAAAATCGGCAGTCAGCAAGCAGGGGATCCAAGAGGCAATGGTGGAGTTCCAGTCCGAATTTGAAGGCTTGAGAACCAGGAGAGCCCATGGTATACTAAAGTTCTAGTCTGAAAGCCAGGGCATTTGAACTCCAAGAAGAACTGATGTTTCACTTTGAATCTGTAGGCAGAGAAAGACTGATATCCTAGCTCAAGTCAGTCAGGAAGGAGGAGTTCCCTCTTACTCATGGGAAGGTCACCCGTTTTGTTCTATTCAGGCCTTCAGCTGACTGGATGAAACCCACCCACATAGGGAAGGGTGATCTGCTTTGCCTAGTCTCCTATTCACTATCATCCACAGACTCTCTCACAGACATATCCAGAATAATGTTTAATCAAATATCTGGGCACCCCATGGCCCAGTCAAGTTGACATGTAAAATTAACATCACAATGTCCAGTGTCCATCTGAACTTATTTGTCCAAGGTTTTCTTTACTCCCATTTTCTCTCAACCCATTGCAAGACAGCACCATAGTCCATTTCTTCAGTCTTCTGTTATCTGCTGGATGGGAGTCCCTTTATGTAACAATGGCGATCTTCCTATACTAATATTATACAGTGATCTAGACTGACCCCTTTTTGGGCATTTCTTCATGCAAGCAACAATGAGTACATATGCAGATGAGAGAGGGTAGAGAGACTTTAGTATCTGCTATGCCCCATGGACTCAGTAGTTGAAGGATAGAGAGTCTTAGCTTTCCACAGTGAGTTTCATCAAGTCTTCTGTGTTTTGTAGATATTACTTGCCAATAGTAGGAACTCAGTATTTGTGTGTTCAGTAAAAAAATAAACAGATGGAAAGTTAAAAAAAAGATTCTGGTATGTGATGGAAGAGATTGTTGTGTGCTAAATCAGTAACGTCTCTTGATGTCAGTTAAATTAATAGGAAGCAATCATACTGGAAAGTTATCTCATGAAAGTAGTGTACTGGCAATATACTACTTCTTTTTAATGAAATACTCTTTCTTCTTGGCTTCTGTGATATCAGGCAAGTTCAAGTGGCATGAAAGTTTATACAGTAACAACTTTCCATCCTCAGACCCCAATTTTTATCTCTTTTTCTAACTATCCAATTTCTCTCCCCACTGGTAAACACATGTTTCTTTTATATATACATAAAAAAATATATATGTTGTATATATTTTATATTACTAGCCAATGTAAGTGAATGTGTGTATAGAGAATATTATACCCAAGAGTATTCCATGTATTCATGGCAGTACATATAGAGTTATGTCATTCTTTTAAGTCTTTATGGTATTCGGTTATATGGATGTATCAAAATATAATATCCTAAATTAGACTTCTAGTTATTTCTAATCTCTTGCTATTCTAGATGAAGCTACAGATATTCTTTTATGAATATCATGTTGCAGATGTGTGACTATATCTGCAAAATAAATACTTATAAATGGAGTTTTGCTGGGTCAAAGGTCACTTACATTTTAAAATGTTGACAAATATGCTAAATGGTGTTCCAAGGAGGTTGCTACCTGTTTACTTTCTCAGTGGCATTACTTGAGAATCCTCATTACCATATAACCTCACCAATACAGTGTGCTATCAGACTTTGAATTTTGCAAGTCTGATAGATGATGAAAATATTTCTTTGTTTTTCTTTAACTTCTATTTCTCTTATGAGTGAAGTTAAGTATTGAACAGATATTTAAAAGCTATACGCTTTTAAACAGAACAAGCATATTGTTGATACCAGTATTTGACAACCACCTTGTTTTTTCAGATGAGAAAACCAAAGCATGAAGGCCATAAGGCATCAGCCTATGGTCATTCACTTAGTGGTAGTCAAGCCAGAGGTGACTCCAAGGCCATCTGGCTACTGAGAATCTCTGTACTAGACTGCTTTTCAGTAAACTCGTGAATGAATGAAAGAGAGAACACATGCGGTTGACTTTTCAACTTGATCTAAACAGAACCTGTATTTAAGTTTGTAATTGAAGAACTATTGAACTTGAGCTTGTTACAAAGAGATCACGGGCACAGCCACTTTCGTTGGTATGGAGAGTATCACAGTGAGAGCCTTGCCTCTGGAGCCACACTTAAATCAGCCCTGTGACCTTGGGCGAGGAGGAGGCTTACCTTAATAACAAGTAAAAACAAAAGCAAAACCAAACTCACAAATCTAAACTGTTGGTTATGTAGAAGATTTCTAAAATTTTATATTTGTGCTTTATTTTTATTTTTAATTTTTATTGTAGGAGAAGCTATTGTCCAGATCTCTTCAGAGGGGTGAAGATCTTCAGTTTGACCAGGTATGTCAATTTTGGGAGAATTTTTTTTTCCCACCTGGAAACAGTGTTCATTCTAATAGTCTGGCCCAAATATATCCAATATTGAAGAATTCTTCAATTTTATTTAGTGATGCTATATATCCTTGTATGCTTAATTCATTCTAGATTTGGTAGCTGTTTAGAATGAACTGTGAACTTTATTAGTTTCTCTTCATTTAGCACTTCACAGCTTTTCATTGTTAATCTCTTTAACATTTATGTTAACTTTGTTCATGTTAAAATTTAACATTAACATTGTTAATACCTTTCACATTTTTTGCTTTCAGTTACATCCCTCAGTCTTTCCTTCTGTACCAATTGCCACACTTTTTACATAATGATATTTTACCTTTTAACATTTATGAATTTTTCTGTTGGGGCTCTCAATCTGCATGTAGAACACCGCTTTCTAACAACTCTTGTGCTGATCTTCTAATGTTAATTCTTCCTTTTACTAAGATTAAATGTTGGATCAATTTTGTCATAAGTATTTTAATATATAGTGGTTATTTGAAAAACCAATAACCTACATTAGCTTTCTTTACTATCTAGTATTCCTAGGACACTTTACCCAAAATTATTTATCTCAAAAATTGAGTTTAATGTTCATATTAGGCTAATTGACTAAATAAAGAAGACTGGTTAGAATTACTTGGTGGAGACCTACTAAAATACTATGTTCCTGGATCCCACTCCAGTTCTGCTGAAGCAGAATCACCAAGGGCGGTGCTCTGGCCCTGGTATTTATGACAGTTTCCTACGGGATTCTGACTCATACACTTAGTAAATAGCCACTGGTCTAAGAAGAAACCATAATTAGACTGGTAAGACCTCTGTTACAATGATACTGTAATAAGATCGCCTTATATGGTGCTTTTCAAGTCTCATACCACTACAAAAGTTATTCAGATTATTCACATCTTGAATCCGTGTCACTAATCGGCCCATAATCAGGATTTGAAATCTGATTAAACAACATTTTAAGAAAATTTTCAATTTTAAATGTAAATGATTAATAAACAGTAAATGATCATTCCTCATAGCTTATTTTTTTGGGGGAGGGTGCTGACAGTTAAAAGTTCTGTGTGGCATAAACTGTTTTCTGTATATTTACAATAGTTGATGGATCTTATTATTTCTTCTTCAGATATTACAAGAGATTTCCTTTGAGTGATACTGTTCATTGTTAATAAAATATATCTTTTTGAAGTATGGTTAAATAAATTTAGAATCTTGTTTTTACCTTAGTTTTCTATGTTAGAAACTATTGACCTGTCAAATTATGATAATTTACAATACAAGGATGATTAAACAATAGTACAAGTAATGAAAATGAGAACAGCCAACATAAATAAACTGTTTCATTCTTTTCTGTTTTTTTTTTGTGGATGAAGTTTTATACAGAATATGAAATAACAGGAAAATTAATTCAATTTCCAGAGGTATCAATTTATCTTCTTCATTAACTAGTTCCTACTCTAGCTATGGAACTAAAAGAGACCTTGAATATCCTGCAACCCATACTTTAAAAAATAAGTTAACAAAGTGAAGCATATTTAATTATATGCTGATTTCAGAATATTAATTTTATGAGAAATGGGTTGAATCACATACAGAAATTCTTATGAAGAGAGAAAATTTTTCTTGGGATCCTCAAGGTGTAGAGTAACCTTAGGGACTGCTGATGGTAGTGTGTCCTGGCAAGTTGGATTCATTCATGAAGTAAAGTTGTGATGTTCACCTAGAATTTGGGTCGTTTCAAGGATGCCCCAAATTTAGTAACAGCTGTTCGTCACAATACACTTATCATTATGTTGTCCTTCTATGTATTCTAAGCCTTACACACTTGTTTACACGTTTCTAACATGCTAATCTGCAGATAGCAGAGTAATTATGATTCTCCTCTTTGTCATAGTATAGGAAATTGGAGCTTTCCTCACAGGTCTTATATAATGTAGTCTTTGTTTCTGTCTTTTCATCCATATAGTGGCATCATTTTAAAATCATTTGTTCACAAGAACATGAAGTTGCCAGGGCAGGAAGTAGATATGGTTTCTTCATGTTATTTGTAATGCCTCCCCTAAAGGTATCTGTGTATTTAATCAGGGATGTTACTGATGGGCATATTTTTACACATGTGAGTGGCATATGGAGGCAGGGAAAAGGTCAAAAGCCATTGAGCTAAACCACCCAAGGAATAAAGGATAAAGTTTAATAGTGGGTAAAACTTTGCCCACTTTATTACTTGGCTAAACCCTTGACTCTTATTTTAATTTTAAAGCACATTTATTGCATTGAGTTACTGTGTTTATTCATTTCAAAATGAAATATAATTTCATTTTGACAGCTAATATAATTAAGAGTGCAGTACATTCAGCAATACACTTTATTTTCTGGTAATATCTTGTGCTTTCAGTTGATAAGCTCTATGAGCTCAGTAGCAGAGCACTGTCTCCCTTCCTTACTTCGCACCTTGTTTGACTGGTACAGACGCCAAAATGGAACAGATGATGAATCTTATGAATATAGGCCTCGATCTAGCACAAAGTCTAAAGGGTAAGTGGTTTATTTTACACTGTTATACCTGGCATCAACACACTTCCAATGAAGGGGTGATACTGTTATCAACTGAAGGTTGTTATTGTTTGATTCGTAAGCAAAATGCATTGATTACTTTTGTTACAAACATGGTAGTAAGGGGGAAGGATAGTTCATACATAAACTGTAAATCAAGAGAAGGTATCAGTTAAACTAGGTGTAGACCTGCAGTACCCATACCAGCATACCATGCAAAAATTAGTCATACAAAAACTCACTTAGGAGTGCCATTTAGTAGTTCAGTGAGGATTTTTTAATAGTCGTAAAAGTTAGGAAAATATTCAAAGAAGTTCCTGTTCATATGGTTTATGAAAGGAGGCAATTACTGTGATACAGGAAGACTGCCAAAACCCTGTGTTATCATAGTACTATGATACTCTTCTTGGAGCTCAATTCCAAGAACTTCTTTTCTCCTCCTTCAAATTTCCCACAAGGATCATGTCATGCAAGTAAGAGCCACCTGTGTTCAGGTGATTGTCCATGGTTTAGTGTTGGATTTCAGTAGATGCCACTTGTGATTTTTTTAGCTTAAATTTGTGAGAAAGATACCTTGTACTGTATTTTCCTGTTGAAAAGTTAATACTTTTCTTTCAGTTCTGAACAAAAATGTTAGTAATCAAATACGGAGCAATGCTAGGTTTTCTAAATAAAATTTAAAATACTTTTCTTCTTACTAATTCTTTTAGATTAGGTTTAAATGTTAACAGATATAATAGTGAACTCCGATAGACACCCAATATATAAAAAGGGAAAGAACGTAAGAACATGTTCATACATATGTTGGATTATTAAAAAGCTTGAGGCTGGGCACAGTGACTCATGCCTGAAATCTGCTTTGGGAGGCTCAGGCAGGAGGATCACTTGAGCCCAGGAATTTGAGACTAGTCTGGGCAATGTAGGGAGATCTCATCTCTAGAAAAAATAAACAAAATTAGCCAGGTGTGGTGGTGCTTGCCTGTAGTCCTAGCTACTTCGGAGGCTGAGGTGGGAGGATCACACGAACCCAGGAGATCGAGGCTGTGTGGTGAGCCATGTTTGCAGCATTGCACTTCAGCCTGGGTGACAGAACAAGACCCTGTCTGAAACCAAAAAGACAAAAATAAAAAACAAAAAGCTTCATATTAACAATTGCTGTAGCACATTATACCTAGTAGGAAAATAAGCTACTAACCAATAGATATTTTTAAAGTCATAGTCCTAATGCAGTACTAATTTTGGGTTCTTGTTTCAGGGATGAACAGCAACGTGAAAGAGATTATCTTCTTGAAAGGAGGGACTTAGCAGTAGACTTCATTTTTTGTTTAGTTTTAGTTGAAGTTTTAAAGCAGGTAAGCTCTTTTATTTCTGCAAAGTGTATTCCTTATTCTTTGCTTACTGTGCCTTCGTGTTTCAGTTACTTTATTTAAGATGCTGTGTCTAGAATTTTAGCCCACATAAACTAAATCCCTGTAATTTAATTATATTTCTTTCCGTTACTTGGGGCTTTCCTGCCCTGTACCTATCTTCCCCTCTTGTTTTTACCTTTGTATGCTGTCTAAGATATAAAATCTTGTTAGCAAAATGGAACTGAATGGAAATTGTATTAATATTGGCTTTTAGCTGTAAGTGTAGTTTAGTTTGCCCGCCGTTCAGCTACTTCAGTTCCTTATTCCACTTAATTTCTCTAATCCCTCAAGCCTGCATTCCAACATGTAATAATGGTGCACTTATAGTTGAGGAATGGGGGTGATTTGATAAGGATACTGAATTGTCATGTGCAAATGGTTTTCAGGCAAGTAGAGTACCTCAGATAATAAATTATGAATGTTTATTCATTCAGTGAAGATTAGAATGCCTACTGTGTGCTGGCATTGCTTGCACTGCACTCGAGCTTACATTTGAATGGGATAGATACACAGTAAAGATATGAATATATAATACAATGTCAGGTATAGTCTTAGTATTTTTACTATTCAAGATCAGTATAAATGTGCTGAATTTGAAAGTTTTTTTATTTAAAGATCATAGTCATTAAAGTTATATATCATTCAAGGATGATCCATGTATTTCCAGCCGTGAAAGTTGTATCATTTTGAAACAAGTTAGGAAGCCCACAAGTCAGAATCATATTTTGCTTATGACATGTTTGGACAGGGAGTTTGTTTTCGCTACATAGAACGGAATATGTGACAAACAGCAAATGTAAGATATAAAGGTTAATTGACAGTCTTTTTCTCATAGTATAACAATATTTGAATTATATAATCAGTTATATTTAGCTTTTGTTTTTACAAGGAATATGAAAAGACAGTTATTTGGTACTCTGAAATCTGCAAATAAACATAATTTTAAATATGGAAAATAGACAAATGAGTTAGGTTAAATCACTTTAATTTGCGCATTTCATAAAAATTTTTCGGTAGAGGTGGGAAAGAAATCTCCTCCGGGAGTTGTGCTAACAAGCCAGACTTGACTTCTGTGACCTCTTGGTTCAGCTGAGACGCTAAGATCTTAAGGCAGAAGTATCTAGGGTAGGAAGAGCTAAGGCCTGGAAATGGCCACAGTCCGTCAGTGGACTCTGATGACCGCTCATTGTGATTTATCCCTAGCGTATCTTGTGTGTTAAATGGACCTCATTTAAGTGGATTGGAAACCAGTATTTGTGCTTTTTTGCTTAAACAGTATAGGATTTCTTCTTCCAGCCAGAGAAATGGCATACTCCTTGCACTAACATTCAGGAACCCCAGTGACCTGGCCCCATTGTGCTTCCTCTCCATTCATTTCCCATGGCATCCTTTTCTTAGATGTCAGTCTCACTCCTCATCCTAAAGTTGCCCAATCACTGGCTTCAGAACTTCAATTCAAAGGCAACCCTGTGGAGGCGTTTTTCCTGTCTCTTCCCCCTCATCCTCCCCGCTTTTCCCCTTCTTGCTACCTTTGTAGTCCTCCTCGTCCTTCTCTTTTAAAATAGTCCAGATAGGTCTTCAGGGAGAAAAAAAAAAATCAAGATCTATAAACATAAGAACACTTTTTTTTTTTTTTTTTTGAGACGGAGTTTCGCTCTTGTTACCCAGGCTGGAGTGCAATGGCGCGATCTTGGCTTACTGCCTGCTCCTTTGCTGGGGTTCAGGCAATCCTCCTCTCACTGTTTGTTAAAACCCATGACTTTTTTTGCTGGGGCAACATGGAGAGACCCCATCTCTAAAAAATATTTAAAAAATAAAAAAAATTAATCTGGGTGTGGTGGTATTCACCTGTTGGCCTAGCTACTCTGGAGGCTGAGGCAGGAAGATCACTGGAGCCCAGGGATTTGAGGTTACAGTGAACTGTGATTGCACCACTGTACTCCAGCCTGGGTGACAGAACGAGACCCTGTCTCTTTAAAAAAAAAAAACAAAAGAATATCTTTCTTTTTTTTTGGGTGAACTCACTGTTCACGTTCACTGCACAAAATCATTTCTGACCCACAGTTCACATGGACTCAAAGTGAAAAAAATATACAGTAGCTCTGATACCAAATCTTTGTCTTTGGTTCTGTCACCATATTATTCCAACCTATAGTACCCTTTCTACTGACTTCTTCACTTCTATTACTATTATCCCCATACCCTAATTTAAAGGCACTCATCAAAAAAAATACATGTGTGTGTGTGTGTAGAGAGAGAGAGAGAGAGACAAAAATCTCTGTATAGGATTATACATTAATAGAGTGTAACTGTGTTCTTGGTGAGAAACATATATATATATATATACGTTTAGATATATGTACATAGATATATAGAAACATATATTTCTCACCAAGAACACAGTTACACTCTATTAATCTATAATCCTATATAGAGATTTTCCCCCCAGTAAAAGGCAAGTCTTTGTAGCTTCTCTAATAAAACTAGAGAAAATGGCATAAAAATCAATAGAGCTTTCTGAAACATCACCACTAACTAACCCAATTTTCTTCTGTCAGAATAATGTGAGGTTTAATAGATCCAGAGAGTAATCAATGTAATATATCTACAATTTAATAGGACTTTTCCTTTTGCCCCATATAATAACACCTACATTAAAATGTAATTCAGGTTTATTTTGATGAGGTGCATAGTCTCCAGAGTATTGAAGTGTTGAGACATGGTTGTTTCAGTCTTGAGGAGTAAATATTCTTTATAGGTTAGACCTTGACCTCATGTATTAGAAATTATGTGTTCCTTGAATAATTTGTTTTGTCTCTAATAATCACACTTTTGGAGCTTTTCAAAATGTGTGAAGAACTCTATAGCCTTTGTGCAAACTGATCATTGTAATAAACCTGGGGAGATGGCCATGGCAAGTACTATTAATATCCCAGCTGTCTTGCTTGCCACATAACTTTGGGCAGGTTACTATCCCTGACTCTTCCTTCCTCTATAAAAATGTATAATATCATTTTTGTAGAATCATGAGAATTAAATGCAATAATGCCTGGTGTGTGGAAATTCCTCAATACGTATTATCTGTTGTTTTCATTTTACAGGGGAAGAAATGTTCTTAATTGTAGTAATTTGCTAAAGATTATAAAGCTAATTCATTTATACTACTTCAAGTTTTCTCTCTTTAATAATAAAAATAAACTTATTCTCATTGGTAAAATAAGTGATACATTAGGTGAAATGGCCAGTATCTTATAAAATTGAATGGAAGTTTTGTTATAACAAGTTAGTCAAAGAGTTAATATAAATATGATGAAATTAAGTAGAGGAATTCACCTTGGGGACACAATTAATTCCATATGATAGAGGACTAGTTTTACTTTTATAAAAACGTCAGGGCTGGGCGCAGTAGCTCACACCTGTGGTCCCAGCACTTTGGGAGGCTAACATGGGTGAATCACGAGGTCAGGAGTTCAAGACCAGCCTGACCAAAATGATGAAACCCATCTCTACTAAAAATACAAAAATTACTTGGGCATGGTGGTGGGTGCCTGTAATCCCAGCTACACAGAAGGCCGAAGCAGAGAATTGCTTGAACTTTGGTAGGTGGAGGTTGCAGCGAGCCGAGATCACGCCACTGCACTCCAGTCTGGGTGACAGAGTGAAACTCCATCTCAAAAAAAAAAAAAAAAGAATAAATTTGGGGTAATGGCTTACTAAAATTAGTATGTTAGTACCAAAGGCTTTAGATCCATGATAAAAGCATGTTTAAACAGCAATATAACATTTTTAAAGTTTGAAGCAATACTCTTTTAGTATTGAATTTTAGTTGTATGTTTATTCTTTAAAACAAACAAGAAGTTGAGAAACCTAGTTTGTGGGCCATTTCAAGCTCTTGGCTTGCTTTTATTCTTACTATTGTGAAGTATCATAAGATGGCGATATCTTTTATGTCTCTGAGTAGATTATTTGCATTTTCAGAGTTAATAGCATTTTCGATGTTGATGAGCAGTCCCAAAGGTCCACATGGGAGATGATTTGTCATTCTGCTGATGTGTGATGCTGTTTACATTCCTTGGTGCTGAGAATTGGTCATTTAGCTAATGAATGGGCTAGTCCAACTTCCCACTATCTTAACCTAGTTTTTTGGTCTTTCATAATGTAATAAAAGCATTAAATTTTCAGCAGTGGTGGTGGAAATAGCCTTGGAATAAACTTGAGTATTTGTTATTATAGTTTTTTTTTTTTTNTTTTTGAGACAGAGCCTTGCTCTGTCGCCCAGGCTGGAATGCGGTGGTGCAATCTCAGCTCATTGCAATCTCCGCCTCCCTGATTCAAGCAATTCTCCTGCCTCAGCCTCCTGGTAGCTGGGATTACAGGCGAGTGCCACTACGCCTGGCTAATTTTTGTAATGTTAGAAGAGATGGGGTTTTACCATGTTGGTAAGGCTGGTCTTCAACTCCTGACCTCAGGTGATCCGCGCATCTTGGCCTCCCAAAGTGTTGGAATTACAGGCATGAGCCACTGCACCCAAACTGTTATTGTAGTTTCTACTAGATTTTCTTGCATGTTCAAGTAGAATTAGAGCCGCTTCTAAATCACACCGATGACAAGATCTTAGAAAGTCTCGAAGCCAAAGATGGAGACATTACTCCATGAAAGAACTTTTTCTCTGTGAGCTGAAATGAGTCTTTGCTCTCTGTGTTTTTGGAGATGCAGTTAGAGAGGTTTTCAACTACTGAAAATAAGGGGAGAAATAGGGACTTTCAGAGTGTCTGTACATTCTGATAATATTCATTCTTAAAGTAAAATTTTTAGAAGTTATATGTTTTTTTTACACCTTGAACTCTGTTTTGGCAGAACTTACATATCTTTAATTAAAATTAAAGATGTATTTCTTCTTTTACTTCTCTCTGTTTTTCTTTCTTTCCTTGCAGTAATATGATAAGACCAAAGTTGCTTATTTGTTTTATTTATTCAAATACATTTTCTTTCCTTTATCTTTAATCTTTTTTTTGAGTCTCTCCCTGTCGCCCAGGCAGGAGTGCAGTGGCACAATCTCAGCTCATTGCAACTTCGGCCTCCCAGGTTCCAGCAATTCTCCTGCCTCAGCCTCCCAAGTAGCTGGGATTACAGGTGCCTGCCACCACGCTCAGCTAATTTTTGTATTTTTAGTAGAGACTGGGTTTTGCCATGTTGGTCAGGCTGGTCTTGAACTCCTGACCTCAGGTAATCCACCCACCTCAGCTT